ATGATGTTTCTGATAGTTTTTGGGTGCCTTGGTTGAATAATGTCTGGTCGCTGGTCACTGTGTACGGGCTTTAAAATCCCATGGCCATCTGGTTTCGTTGCTGAAACACTCTGGACATTATCATTTTCAGCTGGTTGTTGCACATGCTCAAGGATGTCATCATCATCGATAGAAGCTAAATCTGTCTCAGTGACTTTATTACCATTACTTGGAACCACATAGCGGATATTTTTGTCACTCACGTAGAAGTTGTCTTTTTCACTTGAACTATTACTGTTCTGACTTTCAGCCATACTCCTCCGGCCCTCGCGAGAATTAAGAGGCTTTTCTGGAGTTATAGACGCTGCAGAAAGAGTTGGACGGTACTGCTCAACATATGGCTGCAAATAAGGATGCTTCAAAATCTCGGAGGCCTAAACAGAAATTGAAGAAAAAAATTATGATTAATAATTTCATTCGGGAGGATAAATGCAATTCAGCAGACAGTTGCTGATCCTAGAAAAATCATACGTTTGGCCGATACTCAGGGTTCTTCCTTAGCATCCCCTTGATGAGTGCTTTTCTGCAATAAAAAAAAAAAAGGGAGAGATATGTTAATTAACATGTTGTTGTATCTATGTATAATATATCAGCGTACAAATTTATAAAAGCTCATAGCTTAGGGGTGGTACTAATGGACAAGGCAAAGTGTCAACTAAGAAAGAACTGATAAGGCTTCAGATTAGAAAAGGACTCTTACAAAGATGGTGAATAGCACGGAGGCAATGGGCCAATTGAGGAGCGATTAACCTTGCTTATAAGCCCTGCCATGTCCTGAAACCATATATCACATAGAAACAAATGCCATAAGGTACTTTGAAGAGATGAAATGCAGGGGAACCATCCATTAAGGTATAAACTTAAGGAAACATTTAGACTATCTAAGTGAAATACGAAACTTACAAAAGCCTTGAAAGCAGGCCGATACGCAGCCATCTCATATATACAACAGCCTGTTCAATAACATAGAGTCTTAGATTCAATGGCAATAGCAAAAAATTTAAGCGTTAGGAGGATAGAGTTACATATACCTAGCGACCAGATATCTGATTTAAAACCATAAGGGATATCAGCAAGCAGTTCCGGGCACATGTAGTTTGGAGTTCCAACAACCTACATATAAAGTTCCATGAATCATAAACACCATTCTCAGTTCAGAAGCTGAGAGCAATCCTAAGAATAATCATTATGAAGGTTGTGTTATGCAATGAGAGGAGTAACCGTGACTTTTATAAACCTTAGAAAGATATTATCACTTTTCGAGGTAGAATTCCTAATATTCAACATCAAAGTTTGATTTCATAACCCATGCCAAATGTGCTCAATTGCTAATAAGCCATAAATACAAGCTGTATGCTTAGAAAGCCGCAACCTATTACTACCAGGACTAATTCGTTCTCCTACAACATCTTATACATGCACAAATTACAGAGACTTTTACAACATACCGAGGAAGTTAGGTCATCCGCTTTCAAAGTCTTGGCAAGGCCAAAGTCCCCTGCATACAACACAAGATGAGAATATTATTTAAAAGTCCACGTACATTCTATTGCAGGTCAAATTGGGTGGATAATAAATCAAAAACTTACCAAGCCGGACATCTTGATCTTTTGTCAGGAAAATATTGGAACACTGGCAAGAACAGAATTCACAAATAAGTCCA